TAATAAAGCCACAACATGAGTTCTGGTTTGTTTATTTTTAAATAAAAGAAGGGCACTCACAAGCAATAACGTTTCCCCATACCCTGGCAGAGGGTGAATCCAGAACCAATTTTTGTGTAGGGTGGGGGGGGGCCAAGTAATTTGGGAATTTCTTTATGTAACCTTTCATGACCTTACCGAGAGGTGATGCTAAATTGTGGGCTTTGTCTGTATTTGGGAAGGAAGGGAAATGATCCCCCCATCTGTCAATGTATACCTTTAATACATGTATAGGAACGTATGGGATCTTGAAACTTGGAACCTTAACTACTTCCAGTAAACCAGGCATTATTTAGTTTGTTTTCCTGGCCAATCTAAGCAAAAACATGATTTTCATCAACATGCTCAAATTTGTGCATGATTGTCAATATTGTTCACACTGTTTTTTTTCACAAGTATCACATTCATTCTATCGCATTGCTTTTGTGCAAACAAGTGGGTATTTTAGTCATTCTTTTCATTTTATTGTATTCAAGTCTCAGTTTCACCAGTTATCAATTAAATTTTTTCTGACTTCAATGAATTGGTGCGATGATTTTTTACTCATTGTATTGTTTTCATTTACAGTCATTTCAAACTTCAAGTGTTCAATTAGATGCGATATATGGCTTGTTTGAGTCATTGTTGAGAATCTTTCAAGTACCATAAATGCTCTTTAACCATGGAGGGTTTGGGTTAATGGTATACATGTACATATTCCACAAACTCTTGTGTTGCTTACATAATTCCTTTTTCTTAGGACACCGTTCTGTGCAAAGCTGTCTCAAGTTGGATTATTCACTTGAAATCAGTGTAGGATGTTTTTCTTGTGATTGTGTAGGTACATTTAATGCACCAGGTTGGACAATTTGATGTCCTGGGGATCCTCTATACCATTGATGATGGTTTCATTGCTGATAATTCTGGCCATCCCAAATGAAAAAAATTGCATAAGTACGTACAACTATCACAACCATCATTTTGTAATGAAAGAAAATTTGGTTTTATTCCCTTTGCATTATTTTATTCACATTTTGCCTGCTTTCCTTTCCATATGCAAATACAAATCAGGAAGCATTGTACCAAAACTAACCATGGCTTTGTGTTCACTTGAAAACGTTTGTTCTTGTTTCCTCGAATATTTACAAATATTTGATTTTTCTTCCTGGAAAATCCACTTTGATAATTGCGAATAAAAATCAAGTTGTGTGATATGCACGAGACAAATTTGAAAAGAGGCAAGTTGGAATTGCTGGTTGATTAAATTGAATTCTTGATCAATCTCTCCCCGAGGTGTCTGTCCAAATTGAATGAATGCAAGGGCTAAGTTGACTTTGAATCAAGAAATTTTGTAAATGACTGCTCGAAAATGAAATTGAATGACACACTTTGATGTTTGAATATGGATAAAAAAGGGAAGTTCAATATGAAATTAATTTAAATGAGCCTTGTATTGAACTGAATATTTTTTAAATGAAATTGGCCAGGAACCAACAAATAGAATTTAAAAATGACAAAGAAGCTGTAAATTAAAATTTTGTAGATAATTTTAATAATTGCTTCTGCTTTCTGTTTTCCTTAAGACACAGAGAAAAAATTTTCGGATTTAATTTCCATGCCGACTTATTCATGTATTTCTTGCTCATTATTTTTCAAATATAGTTTGTTTGCATACAAATGTACTACACTGTACATGTATATACATTTATGAGTAAATTGCGCACGAGTCCACCACCTTGACCAGAAAAAAAATCACTTTAGTGATTATGGAACAGCTGAAATGTTTATTGAATGTAGAAACAAGCGACTGACACAAAAGGAAATAAGACAAGGCAAAACTGATCTTCTTGAAGAAATATTGGACCATTCGGTGCTTATTTATTGATACTCTTAATAATGAAGTTGAAGAGATAATATACTCCAAGAGTGCAAGACACGTAGACAGGTGAAGACGAATAATAGAAGGCAACGATACGTGAGAGCCCACTCAAGGGAAGAAAAAACAGTGAATAACAACAATTGCCCCCCTTACAGGGGTATCAACTCAACACGGTCCACACAGTTACAGTATCATGTTAATCACTATGTACATAATGTACAAGAAGAAATGGGGGCGTCTAATACCTACAGGCAATTGGCTTACAAATGACAGGTACACAATGTGTCCATGTAACAGTATACAACTGAAAATGTCAACCTATAATTGAAAATTGTTGTGTTTGAATGGCTTTAGTTCTTCAAACAAGGGTTTGGCTTGGTTATCAGTGAACAAGGTTCTCCTTGTAAGCAGAAGACATGCTTGTAATTAAAACATATTTCTGCCAATTTTAAACACCAAACTATGCATGCATAACCACAACATTGCTACAGTATATTCCCTCATTTATGTACAAAAAAATGATCATGGCTGTTGTTGACGTCAAACGAAAAATCCCTGTAAACAGAAAATGGGAAAGAGATTTTGAAACCTCACCATGCTAATGTCTATTTTAAAATGTAATGCATGGCCTGTGCTTCCTAGCAGTGATCCTGAAAACACCGCCTTGGCTACCGAAAGATTGGCGACTGGCAACGATTGGGAGACATAGTATCTGAAAATCCAGTCCACTTCTTCATACTCTGATGCGATCGCTGAGGGAAACTGTGACAATATTCAGTTTGATTTGTGCCCTACATGGAGTCTAGAGAGCTATTGTATACTTCCCTGCTATCTATCATCAGATATCATAACTAATGTGAAAAGCCTTGGTAATCACGCAAACATAAAATTTTTAACGACAGTTGAAAAGAACAATTTGGTCATCTGGAATCCAGAGCCATCCCCCCTAACAGTCTGGAAGCCCACAGTAATACATCCCCCAAATTACAGATCGTGGAAATTGTCCATGTAACAAAACTTGACCAGAATAGTTTCTTTTTCCCCTTTTCATATTTTGTCCAACAACCGCCATGGAAAGAAATTCTACAACACAACTGTACTAATGCTTATCACTACCTCCAAATGGTCACATTCATTATATTTCAGTTTTTTTGGTCAGTGCAGCAGTTTTTTCAACTAGTGTGTATTCTTTTTAATAACATCAATCTCAACAATCTCTCAATAAAACAGGGCAGTGACTGGCCCAAAATTTGGCACAACGTCCATTCGGTACAATGTTTTAAAGTCAGAATAACCTACTCAGGGATGCAAAATAAGTGTAGTGTGCATGTACACTAACTTTCGTAAAGAAACGTTACAAGTGGATCTACCATTTGTTACTGCAAAAAACTGAACACCACATGAATATTTTACATTGTGAACTCTCACATTGCATTAGCCTGCATAATACTGCTGGAGTTGCCTACTGAGGTTCCTAAGCTTTTCAGAAAAAAAAAAAAAAAATATTCGGAACAATACATCTCTGCATGACATAATTCTTTGCAAGGAACAGTATCATTGTTATCTGTACCATTTACTCATTCAGGGTCCAAACGTGACAAATACTTGATGCACAGACAGTCATATACAATTTGGAACACAAATAAATAGCACAATATGAACAAATGGCACAAGGTGGCGGGGGATCAGCGAGCTCAGACAACATGAGGTTAATTGAGACGTCAAGTCTGATACAAACCATGCAAAGACAAAATTCGGATGGAATGCTGCACCTGACTGCTATGGTGCCTACCTGTTTCTCTCTTCTTTCACATCATCAATCTTGATGGTGATCAACCCATCCATTTATATCACCCCAGGCTTTTTGTTTGGTTTTGTTTATGGGCTGTACTTTCATACATGTTTGCACTTTCTTGTATTTCTGTGGCTAGCCTCTTCAAGACAGATGAATACCATTCTTAAGAAAAACACACATCTGGAATGGCACACAATGGTAGTCTCAACATTTTGCCGAAACCGAAGCGGCTCAACTCTAACCATCTTGTGATTTGCTACACCTCGGGCAGTTTATTGATCATAATTTAGAAAAACCCATATCTATTTGGACAGTGAATATTGTGTTGGAAGCTAAGAAACCTGCAGTACTAAATTACATCTCAGCCACCTATTGAAGAAAATAAAAGATATAAAGACACACAACTTTTGCACTCAAAGCAGGCTGTGATCCAAATCATACTGCATGAGAATTTTCAAACCACAGGTTCTGTAGTCTTAACAAATCAGACAGAATTTATCTCTAAAGAGATAAAAACTTTTTTTCTGTCAGCAAGCTGCACATACGACTTTCAGTTGTTGAAGCTGTAAATGTAGAAGAAATTGACACAAAGGTGAAAGACACTGTAATTTGGTAGAGCAATTGGGTCTCAAACGAAAGCACAATAACTCAACGTTCTCTGACTTTCAAGGCCAAGGATCGAGGTTACGAGAAGTAGGGCAGCGCAGGAAGAAGTGTCAGGGAAAACTGAGAAAGTGAAAGGAAAGGAAACAGGATAGAAACAGGAAAGAAAGACCAGAAAGTTATGACAGGTCAGAGGAAAACTACAGACCTCACTTGGGGAAAAAAAATCATGAATTGTATTATTATTGTTCATCATCTCCTTACTGTGATTATTTTGGGTTGAGAAAAATTGCCAAGTTTAAAAAGTAATCCATCAACAAAATATTTGATTTCAAATAATATTGGTGAACGCTTTTCGGAGTGCAAGATTCACATGGTGTAGAATGTCCACATGCATGGGATTGTTAATCATGTCCAATATGGAGGAAATTTTTTGTTGAGGAATAACAAAATAAGAATCGTCAAAATGAAACATAATATTGTCTGATGTGTAACTGTTACTTGATGCCCAAGAGTGATTCTTAATCATAGTTTATAGTTTTGGAACTTAATCTTCGAGTCTGTATACATGAGTGGTATATCTGGCAGGCTTACTTTACTGCTTAGCTAAACTGGAGCCAAGCAAATAAGTCTGATTGGCTGAACATTTGCTCAATCTGCTCCCAGGCAATTTACATCGCACGATTTTTGGCCTAGCAGCTTGATTTTTTGTGAAATAAAACTTTGGGCTAAGCAACGTTGTGTTCTGAGCTACAATACATCTCCACTACAAATAGTTATTCTCAGCATGGTATCAAGATTTTTTAAGTACCTGTTAACACTAAACCAGGAATGGCAACTTATCTAGGCTTGTTTCATTTGCTATCTCCGGTTGAACAAACATGTATCTCCTTTATCATGAGGTAGATAGTTGGGCTAGGACTGGAAAGTAAATTATGCAAAGCTGACAGCCTACTGACTACTGCATGTTCTATCCAATCCGATGTAATACAGCCCTTATTAAGTGAAAACTGCAGTTGTTTTGGAACCCACGAGAGAACAAGAAAATGTCCAGAGGGGAAAAATATACGAAATATCACAGGGACACAATTTTTTACCAAAAAGCCACAAATGAGACCAGATTAAAAACAAGGAAATTCAAGATTTACAACTTAGAAAATAAAGCCTGTCCACAATCTGTGATTGGGTATAATTCATTTCAAACATTGGTGAATTCAAATTCACATAATTAAGGCATTAATCATCATCAAAAACCTATTTTTTACATAAAAATCATATGTACATGTCCATAGCAACCAATCACGTTTACTGCTAGACTAGGCTGGCATTACCTCAACACACAGAATCTGTGCAGGATTGGTGAATGTTAAAAACCCAGGAGGAACATCAATTAACGACTTGTCAATGTTGCAAATACATATTCAATAGTTTGCACATCCAAAGATGTCTACATCTCATCTTTTCATCTGACATTGTTGGCAATTAACTTTTGGCACATCACTAATACATCTCTGGAAGCACAAACAATTTCAACCAAATCCATTCTCTTCCCCATCATTTTTTCCCCAAATATTAACTTCAGAGGCTTCTTCCCATGGTTTGTTTTCTCTTCAAAATACAGACGGTAACACCACCAACCCCTGTTAGGTCAGTGTGCGAACATTCTAGGCATATGTGACTTTAGGTGTTTCTTATTCAGCATGGTGTAGATTTTTGTGGTTGAAGATAATCATTCCATCAATCCCGAACCTTTAATTTGGTATTTTGAGGTTGCTAGTCTTTTTCTGCCCTTCAACAAGCTTAAAATACACTGACCAACAAATTAGAATGACTGAGAGGAAAATTAAAGTGTCTAAAATAGTTTTATTGTCCTTTTAGCCAAGAAGAAATTCATTTACCCCTCCTCCAACGGATAAAAGAAACTTCATTTGTATGGTTTACAATGGCAGGTCTACAGGTCTTTTGGGGAGCAAGCAACAAATTTCGATGGAGACCTGTCCTTGGTGATTTGATACGAGGGCTGGTACAAACCTCATCACTCCCGACATTTTATTGGTTGCTATGAACCACATTGCCTTCATTCCTGGGCTTTAATTGGCTGGGCCTAGGGGGCATGCTTCAGGTGAGGTTTGCAGCAATACCAAAAGATGACATCACAAGGCCTTGAGGCACTGGTTGATCCTGGGCACCAGGTTAGAAAGGCTACTCTATTTGCATTCACGTCAGGTCTGGTGTCCTGTCTGCACGACCATTTTCTTCTGTTCCTTGTTACTTTCATCACTGTCTTCCACTCCCGATTGCTGCCATGACTGGGTGTGTATAAAGCGTTGAGTGTGGATTTGTTCTGTGGTTTGACATTCTGGTGTGGTTGAGGTCATGCATTCACCGTGCCTCTATAATAATCTTTCTTTTGTCTCTTATTCAGTGCGCTAGTCTAATACACTTAGAGACCTTTTACGTTTGTTAACTACGACCTTAAGACACATATAGTTCTATCACTTAAAGAACACTAGGTCAGCTTTTAGTTTTAATCCAAAAGCTTGCATATGCCATACAATTTCAGGTCCATGGCATGCCACATCTCTTGGATGATAGCTATTCACTGCCCAGATTATAAACACATTGATGATTTGTCCAATACATGTGCGAGAAAGTTTGTCATTTCTGTTCGTTTTGGCACAGACCCCACTTCCTCCTGAGCTCACTTGGCTTTCCCATCTCCCCCCTTCCTTGCCGGTCATCAGACATTGAAAATCTCTGTTATAAGTGGGAAGAGGTTCTCAAACTGTGAGTCGGGCAGCTTCATCTGCATCAGGTCGTTGATGTGCCTTGTAACCAAGTCTCTGACATCCGTCAGCTTCATGATCAGCTTAGCAAAGAAGACCTTGTCTTCAGGATGGTTGACCTTAGTTAACATCTGCAAGGTCTCCACCATGGGTCGTTGGATCCTCTCCACGTCTTCATGATTTTCAATGTCTGGCCGATCTAGAGAAACAAAGATGTGGGAAAAAGGACAGAAAAGACAGAAATAAATATTACCAGTGTCCAAAATGCTGCGGTAGAACACAGTTTACTTGTTCATTTTTACTGTGTCCAGTTTGATTTCCTATCATTTATTCTCTAAACTAACTGCCAGGTTTAAACCGGACCTTGCTAGTTTTAGGACAAAACTGTGAAGTTAATTAGTTCACTTGTAAACGCAAGTCATTCACATTAAAATATGACAGCTCTTTAGGAGGTGATGTACATGTATGCAAGCTGTTCCCAACCTGAAAGGGCCAATTTCATAGTGCTGCTTAAGCAAAATATATGTTTAAGCGTGAAAAAACCTTGCTTGACAAATCAGGTTACCAGCCAAAACATCTTGTAATGTGTGTAGTTTTAGAATGGTATTTACCCGTCTTTTGGTTAGCATGACAATCATAGCTGGCAACCTTTGTTTATCAAGCAATGTTTTTTTCATGCTTAAGCAAATTCTGTGCTTAAGCAGCTTTATGAAATTGGCCCATGTGCTATTACAACCTAATGGCTGACTATCTTTACAAAATCTATGCAAGTTCCATGAAAAAGTTCCAATTCTCCTCTTACAATGAAGCCCCAGTTTTTATTTCCCACATGATAGTGCCTTTTTTTAAACTACCCAGTAATTTGCCTTCTATGTTTAGCCCTATACCAAGTAACGTTTTCTTTGAATACTGATAAATGGCTACAGCTAACTTAAATAAGTCATTAGATTTGAATATTCAGGGTATTGTTTTAATTAGTGTGTATAAGCTGGGCATGTTTGTTCATGTTAAGAAAGTCATAAATAGCTGTGTATGAATGAGTTACAAGATTTTTTTTACAATTAAGGCTTCAATTTCTGGATTAAAACAGAAAAGAACTGAAATACATGTGACCAGTTAAAGAGACACAACTATTTTGGAACTGTGCCAAATTAGGAAATTAAGGTGGGTGGGACTTAGGTGACAACAGGGATTTCTGGAAAAGGAAGTGAACACAGGAACCTGGATAACCAGGAAAGAGGAAGGTTGGATGTCCTTGACTTCTTGAACATAAAGAAGGAATGATTACTAGGTATCAGATAATAATGAATTGACAAAATTATGAGGAAAAATGTCTAAATACTTTAGTGTAGTGGAGGAATCTGCACCATAACCTAATGGTCTGAAAAGAAGCAGCTTCATTATGATCTGCTGTAAACATATATATTTATGAGATGTTCACTACAGAAAGTACCAAGACGAGTCCGATGTTTAATATTTTTACATGTGCCAGTATTGTTTCTGTAATTTTTCAAAGCTGATGTAATGTTTAACCACTTGCTGCCGGGTGGTTTGAAAAATTCAGTGCACATATTCGGGACTTTTTCAAGGTTTTCAGTTTTCAAAATTCTTCAAAAATTCATCATGTCAAATAACTGAATGTTTACACCCACACGAATTACTCTCTGGTGGCCACTCTAGTCTGACAGACAAAATTTATTGATGCCCGAGTATTTCAGCCAGGCCTGCAGCCTTGCAAAATGAGCCCAGATTGTGCAGTGTTATATAACTTTCGTTTTGTTCACGAACCTGGCACAGTGCGCTGTTGACCTCTTTTCAATAGGGGCCAGATTAGCGTTCAGCTGTGCTGTGTGGCTCATCGCTGCGGTGGTGGAGCGCTTTTGTCCCTGGTGGTTATCTGCTTACACTAAATGCCTGAAACCGTGGTATACTGTTTCAAAACAAGGCTGGATTATCTCCACTACTGAGAGTGAAAAAATGTTGGTAATTCCAAGCAGCCTGGTCTTTTGTTCCGATTATGGTCTTTTGTTACAAGGCCCAGTTCCCTTTGTCCGATTTTGGAGACTCCACATGGTGCCCGAAACCGGAGTCCTCGGCGGCAAGTTATTTTACCAGTTGTACTACGATTAATTTATTATTAGTCTTTGCTGGGCACCTTGGGGAAAAACACTGTTACACTGAAAGGTTTGCTCAGGGCAAACATCTTACTGTATGAGAGACTGATTAATGAGAAATAGGTTTGCGCGTACACAATCGAATCAATCTCTTTTGGGCGAGGTGTGGTTCTTAAAAGAACCAGTGAGTGTTAACTCGACGTTTCGGCCAGTGTGCTCTAGCCATCCTCAGGAGAGTGTGCTCCTCTGAGGACTCTCCTAAGGACGGCCAGGCCATGGTATACCCGCAAACCTACTTCTCATGTCTCTTCCACCATGCAAAGCTTCAAATCTTACTTAGACTGATTAACATTGTGAGAATTATCATGAACACTTGTTCAGCTTCTGCACCTGTTACATGTATTAGGTTTACAATTTGACTGAAAGTGTGGAGGATTTCGAAGCTCGGCTTAATCACTGATTGATTCAAATGTACTTTCAACTGTTAGATTTTTGAAGTTCAGAATGCATATTTCTCTAAAACATTGTTGGTGATTTTGAAGGAATGCTTTTTGTACTGTTCTTATGCTCTGTTGACAAGGAGTTCCTTAAATGATAACATCAAAATAGCACCCTCGAGCACAGGTTGATGAAAGTAGTTTCTGAGAATTGAAAAACCACTTGTTTTCGCACGCAATAGCAAGTATCCAGATGTTGTTTGTATTATTGTAACCAGTGTTGGAGTCGAGTCCATCACAAGTCCTTTCACATCGGTAGTCATAAGTAACAGGGTGAACAATGATGAAAGATTTCTTTTGTCACAGGTCAATTGAGACCCTTGTGAATTGGCTTAACCACTTGCTGCCAGGTGCCTTTGAAAATGCAGTGTCTAAAACTGGGCGATTTTCAACATCTTCGGTTTTCAAAAATCTTCAAAAATTCATATTTTTTTTTCTTGAACACTTAAACCCCATTGAAAGACTGTCTGGTGGCTACTCTAATCTGACAAGCAACACCTATTGACGCCAAAGTGTTTCTGCCAGGCCTGGCGTCTTTTCAATAGGGGCCAGATGAGCGTGCAGTGGTATTGTATTGCTCATCACTGAAGCGCTTTTGTCCCCGGTGGTAATCTGCTTGCCCTGAATGCCACAAACAGTGGTATAATCTTTCAAAACAAAGGCAGATTTCCTCCGCTATTGACAACTGAAAAAAGTTGGCAATTCCCAGCAGCTCAGTCTTTTGTTCCAACTATAGTCTTTTGTTACAAGGCCCAGCTCTTTTGTCCAATTTCGGGCACCCTGGCTATATGTACAAACTCAAGGTATCCAAAACTGGGCTCCCCAGCAGCAAGCGGCTAATTTAAGACAGAATTACTTATTATGGACTTACAGGGACTTGTGATGGACTTATAGGGACTTGTGATGGACTTACAGGGACTTGTGATGGACTTACAGGGACTTGTGATGGACTTACAGGGACTTGTGATGGGCTTACAGGGACTTGTGATGGACTTATAGGGATATAAGACTTAAAGGTTTTCATGGTGAAAGAAACTAGATCTATAGTAAAGATTGCGGTAACACCATACATGGTGTTACCGCAATCTTTACTATGGACTTATAGGGACTTGTGATGGACTTATAGGGACTTGTGATGGACTTACAGGGACTTGTGATGGACTTACAGGGACTTGTGATGGACT